ATCTAAGAGTTCCAGGGATAATTTCTGTTTTTAAGCACCTATAATGCACATTAAGTCACATTTCTCAATAATGTTTATTGTGAGGGATCATCATTTAAAAAAAAAAACAACAAACAAAACAGTAACATAAATTTAAGCAGAAAATGACACACTGTTGTTATGCTATATCACTGAGATTGGTTGTTTAACTTTCAAGACTCAGTAAGTCTTAGAAACCTCCTGGCTAAGCTAAACACCACCACCTGACTTGAAAAGCACTTCTAACAAAATTTCTGTTCTACCACTTCAGAGCCCAGCTCAGCTGGGGTGTGGGTTTTATTTTGTGGTTAGGTTTTTTTTTTTTCCTTTATACACATGTATTTTTGCTCTAGCACATTTCTCATCTACTCAAAGCCTAAATAGGTTTTCCCTCTTCATGAAATGAAGCTGTTCTGAAGCTGTACTTCCATAATGTGCAAAATTTTATTTTTTTTTAAATAAATATTTCACTCCTACATCCTGTACACACCTACACAGAAGGCAAGAAGCCACCATGCTTATTAACAGAAGTATACCTATCCATCTACTTTCATTTCTACAAGTACCTATTGCTTGTCAAGGAATAAGGGTTTATCCCATATCTAGTCTTACAGACCTAAGTTTTAAAATACAGTCTAGCTTTAAAGTTACATTAGTTTAAGTTAAAACAGTCCTTTACAACCTTCTGACATCTAATTTCATTTATCCTTCTTCTATAATAAAGTCACGCAATCATAACTAGTCCTGAAGAAACAGTGATTATCCTGCACTCCTAGGCCATACCTGATGCCATGCCCACTGCCAGTTAAGGGAAAAAAGACTAGCAGCATCACAACAGAAGTCGTAACATCACTACTCCAGGTTTTTGGAAACAGCTGGTCAGACTGCTTAACTTTCCCTCCAATATATCAAGGTTAAATGGACTGTTAAGAGTTTAAATACACATTTTACACATTAAAGCAATTAAACATTAGCATTAGAAGTCAACTACAGGTGCAGAACTATTGAGCACTTTTCTTATGGTCTACATCTACAAGAATGTGACAGAAAGAACACTGATCACTGCTGATCCTTCACGATACTGTTCATGTTCAGTTTAAGATCTAATCCTCCCACTTCTTGTTTAAAACTATTCATAATCTCTTGAATTATTAAATATGACCTACATGTTACACAAACTGCTACTTAACTCTTCCTTGGCACATACTATATGTAATGCTGTGTATTGTCAAATGATCTGAGGATTATATGCCATATTGAATTTTCACTGAACTGTTACACAGGGTCATATATTAAACTAGTTATTCTAATTTCCTCAGTCCCTTTTTATTCTGAGACTTATTCTTGAATGGGTTGCAAAAGGATTTTTGAACAACATAACCTAGCAGCTCTAAGCCAGAAACATCCTTCCATATTACCTCCTATGAAAAACATCTTAGGAAGTACAGTTAAGTCCCATCTTAAGTTTTCTAACTTGCTAGCTATTTTTCTTGTGCTTAGAACCAACAATATGATTGAACTTGTATTTACAGTATCTATAAACATTGGCAAAAAACAGCACACCACAGCAGTTTGAATTCCCATTAACAGAAGACCATGGCAGTACCTGATAATTATTTAACTAGGTAGAGAATGAGTGATGCTCGTATCTTAATCAGACAGCAAGCCTAGATGACCCCATGGTAACATCCTCCACTGGAACATGCCAACATTTGTCATCAAGTGGCAACAGGTTCTACAAGAATCCCTTCTACAGTTAATTTCAGGTTTCCAGATCAGGTCTTCGATTCAGCCAATCAAGGAAAGAAAATTCTTTGGTCCTTGAGAAGGGCTCTAAGAGGCCACATATTCAAATGTGGGCATGGCAGGGGAAGAGTTCAGGATCAATGAGCAAGAAGATCATGTCTTTAGCACTAAAGCTTAGTTAAGTCACAAACTACCTCCACCATGGAATTTGGGTCTTGGCCTCTTCCCTCAGAGAGTCACCTCGAATTTCTATCAGCAAAGTGTTACTGATCAAAAAGGAAATAGAGAAGTGTGTCAAAAGGCAGTGAAAAATTTCTTAACCACTGACTTTCCTGAGTCCAATCTGACAAGGGCTTTCTCAGAAAGATTAATTCTCAATCAAGATACAAAAAAGAATAGTCCAATGACAGATGTCACCTGAAGTGACAAAACCTGCCTCCAGGTTAAAAAAAAAAAGTTGGCAATACCAGCATATTTAACTCCCAAATTTATCAAAGTTAAGAATTTGCTAGTATCCTCTAAATTATCTACCTCCAATTTGTAAGTATAAGCTACTATTAACAGGAAATTTACAAGGATCCTCAAGCTGCCAATTTCCTTCAATCAACTTGTGTGCAAAACTACTGAAACTCTGCTGTTCAAGACTACTAAAATCAGTCAAATTCAAGAGGAGCTGTTCGAAATGAACCATACTACGCTGCAATCAATCTACATTAGGCATTAAATAGCATATAATTTTGTAGCTACTTCAAGGCAGAAGAAATTACGTTGCCTCCCTCACCATGAGGTTAAGCCTTTGAAAACTATCAGTAAATGACCTCTGTATCATTAACATAAGCAACCCTGGGAAATAATTTCTGCAGGGTTCCATCACAACATCAAAACTTGCGTTTTAATTCAGTCACTATTGACTATCTGTTCAACATTACTAACAGCAGAACACGTTAAGTTTTGTTCCTGCCAAAGAAAACAGACTGACTAAAGTCGTAATTAGGAAGATTTATTTATTGTTAATACTTAAAGCTTATAACAAAAAATACTTTATATAATAACTTCAGAATGAACACTAAGATACAGGGACTTATTTTTCCAGGATCTCAGCAGTATATCAAAATTTCCAGTAGAAATTCTACAACTTCCCTCCTGAACTGCCACAAAAGCACTCAGACTAAGTATCACCAGATCCTAGAACAGCATAGCTAAAATAGCTAGGGAATGTAATTCAGCAAATTTCTTTTAAGTCTATAAAAAAAGACTCCTAGAAATTTCACTAGATACTATGGCAGTATGGCCCCATATCAAATACACACTGAAGCAGGTATCACCACAGACAGGAATTTAGACCTTTATGCAGCCTAGCCCTCTTCTGATTTCAAAATAATTAAGACACACAACAAACACTAGGTGATTTTCAGTTAACCTGAAGCATGTACTTGCTAAATGCAATTGAGTCAGGACTTCAGAAGTCTTTCTCCTTCCTATCACATTTTTGGAAAGATGAAAGTGTCTTAATGATTTCACTCTGCTAACTTTTTCCTGTACTCCAAGTTTTTCCTCCAACTATATAGCCTTGTTCCCAAAACACGCAAGTGAAGTCCTGAAGCACTGGCAAATATACTCATGCAAGTATGCCATTATGGAAGGGATCACTTTGAAAAAAAACACTTTTAATAACATACATTGGCAATGATTCTCATACAACAAAATGACCTTCTGAGGTTATGCATATAAGAGTATGATACTGGTATAACTTTAAAAAAGCTTAATAAGTTACAGGTCTCATCTTTTTGGAATAAAATATTTGGCAAAGGAAAAGCGTTAATCTCAAAAGAATTGGTTATTTGAAATGCATCATTATAGCACTATGAATACATTCCAAGATACCTAAATTGATATCAGTCTCCTCTACTAAAAAAGCAGACATTTTCTGAAATTGAAAGAAATGGTTACTCTGGTTACTGTCTTTCTCCAATAAGTAAGAAAGAACAGAAATCAAGATTTAGATCCAACTTTACATGTAGTTTTATAAACATTCTAGTATGCCAAATGAAAAGAACAAGCACCACTATAAAGACTAAATCAAAGCACCTTTAATACTAATGCACCTGTTGAAAGTGCATTGACAGTTCCAAGCTTTTGAAGTAAATCTGTGTGAGCCTCTTACTCAAGCTTAGACACTGGTTGCTTGGAATTAATGCCCTGAGTACAGGGGGAAAAAAAGACTATTAAAATCACAAAAGCTGAACTTTCAAAAGTACAGCACAAAAGTGGGTTCAACTTTTTCCTCTACTGTCAAATAGACAAAATTCACATCTGAGAAAGGCAAAACAGAGCAGAAGAGAATCCAGGATTAAAAAAAAGGGTGGAGAGGGGGAACAAACAAACAAAAAACCCACCAGCTTGCTTAGCCAAGAAAAGCACAAGTTTAGAGAGTTTTTTTTCAAAATGCTCCTCAGTGCTTGCTACAAGGTTAAGTTGAAGCAGCAAGCATCTGTTGCTTAGGATAGTAGAGGCTAAGTGCCCAGGAGAACATACACTGAAACCAAATCCTTCAAGATGCGTCAAGAGGAAACATTCCTCTCAATACACTGTTAATGATCAAAGATGAAAATATAATGCTGTGAGTAGAGCTTACACACAAATCAAGTATTCAATCTTTTGAAGATATATGTAACATTTACTGCAACTTATACACACAGAGTACTATCAGCTGCATGATTTGCCAAAAGCATGCCATAAAGCAACTTACTGGATCCTGCACAGTAGCACAGAAGCAGCAACACATACCATTTGGCAGAACTGACTGGGCAAAATTCCAGTTACAGAATGCAATTTCGTATTTCTACAAGTTTGTACTTTTCTCAGTTACAGATACATGCCAAGTGCATTTCCTGCATTTTCCTCACATGTTAATACATGACCTAGAACCTAACTCAAGATTGGTAACACAATTTCTGCATAGCCTAAAAAGCGCTGTACCTTAAACGAGCGCAAATTGTTGTAACTTGTAGTTTATTTAAGTTTCCTGTAGGGTCAAAGAAAAGTTGAGGCTCCTACTCGGTATGGAGAATTAGCCACCTTCAACAGCTCTGTTCTAGCATTGTGTGTTGCAATCCTATCAGTCCACTGTCTTCTAAAATGTTCTGATATACAATTTTGATTAAGACATAGTGGAAAAAAAAAAGTCTGTTTCATGCAACACTTATACCAGGGGAATATGTAATTATAATACTTACTAGATGAGAACCGTCTTTAACTTCTTGTACTTGCTGCACCTGCGGTTCAGCCACAACTTTAGTGTCCTGATCAGAAGTCATGAGCTGTCTGCTTTTTGGCTGCTCAGAGAGAACTTTACTGGTCACCTTCGTAAGCTGTGGAAATAGGAAGACAAAAGATCCTGTAAGTGGCTGTTGAAATTGCTGAGAACTCACAATCATTCCAGACGTGCCATGCTGATTCAGACCAAAGAACTTCCACACAACACGGTCAGGATTACGTGTTCAGAGAAAACGTTATGGTAGAAGGCAAGAATAAAGTGATCTCGCAGATACGCTCAGCTCCCAGCCTCTGGCTGCCTCGGGAGTGCAGATGAACACTTGCTACAGCACTGGGCAGGGAAATTCCACTGGGAAAGTTCCACTTAATGCTCACCTCAATTATTCAGATTGGTTTTCAAACCATGACTTCTTCATACCACCTGGTAGACTTACTTAACTTATTAAGAAGCATTTAGTCACAAACCAGCCTTTGTCTTCTACAACTACTCTGACAGTCACTTAATCTTTGCAAATTTTAAGAAGCATGTTACAACAGTTCTGCCAGATTAGTAACGCTCAACAAGTTGTTCTGTTCCATCATCCTAAAATGCTATTTTATTTGATTAGACAAGTAGAAAACTGAATAGAGTTGAAAGTCTGACATCGACTTCTCTTTGAAATTTGATGCTATTATTTAATACTGTTATTTTAAAAAAATCCCGGTCTTTAAAAAAAACCAAAACAAAACAGGAAAAGCTCATATAAAGCATGAAGTCTCAGAAAGTAAACATTGAGGTGTAAAATCAGGGCAATTTTTAAACTCTTCTGTTCTAAAAGGACTATGAGCAAGTTGTAATAGGTTTTTTGAGTTATTCACATGGAAAACCCAGTAGTGCATCTGTAACAAAGTCCGAGAGAAATTTATTACCTTCAAGTTGATGACACCAAACTTTAGGGTCTGATTGTCTACGATCTCCTTAAAAAAAGTAAATATTCACAGCACATGGAATGTAATAGTATGATTCCATTTTTTAGCAGCATAAGCTTCTTTTAGGGTATCTTGACTGCAAAAGACTGGAGTTAAAAAGTATTTCTTTCAGTCTATGGCATTATGGACTTCCATGGAATCTCCTCTACACTGTATTTTGAAACGGACAAAAGCAAAAGCCTTTCATACAACTGATTGAATACATTCCAAAATTTTCAAGTAAAATCATGACATTCACCTATGAACTGATCCAAGCAACTGTATTACGGGATTATGCAGAATAAGATATTTTGTACACACAGTTGAAGAAGCAAATATACTGACATCCTCGACAGGACAAAATATTCAGCTTAGATGAACAGTTGCTTATCACTTCATGCTACCAATGTAAAGTCAGCGTGAAAAACGTGTTTTTGAAGGAAACACATGCACTGTGTCACTGCTATATTCCCTGAAGTTTTTTTTCCTAACACACTGCCTCTCATCTTGGCACAGAAACTATTTAAGTAAGGGAGAAATGACACAGACAAAAAAACACACAGAAAAAGAAATATGAAAATTATACTGCCCCTCATATACAGTGTTACACACACATTAACATACACAGAGTCTACATGACAGAAAGTCTGGAATTCACTCAGGATGTTTGTATTTTATAAAATAACCAAAAATCATCCTTGAGAGGAAAGCAATTCTTCAAATGCAAGTATTAAATATCTAGACTCTGTGTTGCTCAAACCCACACACGGCTAGCTGTATGCACATTAGCACTGCAGAAGGTGTCTAAGCTTCTTGGAGGATGCTTCTGTTAATATTCTTTAAAGAAATTGGTTTTAGTCTTTCAAAATTTTGGATTAATATTTTTCTAAAAAGAGCACAATATTTCCCACACATTTCATGTTTGTTGTATATAATCTCCACCGCTGTTCATACTAACCTTGAGCAGGCACATTAGCCCAGATTCACAAGCTAAAGTCTACTTTACAGAAAGACAAATGTGCCTCAGTCAGCAATGATGTTGTCTACTCAGCATTTTGATCCCCAAATCAATGCCAAGGTACTTCTTTGCATCTCTCTATGTTGCCTGCTTATCTCACACGTTCCCATTCCCTTCTAGGATCAGCCTGTCCCCAGTCATGCTGCAATCTCTTCCATCCCCTGGTATGTAGTGTTAGCGCCAGTACTTTGTAAATCTATGCATTGTGGAAGGAAAACAGCTAAGATCACGTGAGTCTAAAAAACAAGAGTAAAGTTCCACTACACGTATGTCCTTTAAAGCATTTGCTGACTGGACATCAAGCACAAAATATTCAGCTAAATCATTAATTTCAGTTAAGGGTAGACAAGATGTTAGCCAACTTGGTAGATAACATGACTGCAATGTGCACATTGCAACTTCAAATTTCTTGGGCAAGCCACCAGCAATCAGAGCAGCACATCATTCCACCACTTTTCAAAAGTTCTTTAGATGAGATTACACAAGACACTTATCACAGGCTGGGTCTAGACTGACACTCTAGGTAACTCCGTTTGGATTACTCAGACTAATAATTATATTCTCATTAGTTACACAGATTTGTTGTGATAGACGCCATATTAAATCCACTCACTTTGTCAACAAATTATTTTTAATACCTACAATGCCAAACCCAAATATTTAAGTTGCACTTTGATCATTAAGTATCAATATGGCTCTCAAAACAAGTGAGATACTATTATAATCTGTTTAAAAAGGATATTCAATCTGCCTTCTAAGTTAGATGCTTTTAATAATGATCAGTTATTGCCTTTCTGCAAATGAGTAAGCCATACAGAAAGATTTCAAATGGAGGAGGAGGAAAGTTGCAATTTTCTTCACTTAGTACGTCACACTGCTACAAGTCTCCAGGATGTCAAGTGCTCTGATGGAAAATCCCATCTGTTGTGATATACTTCAAAATGACTTCATGTGCAGGGCTGTTCTGGAAAGTTAGTGCCATCAACTTTTCCACCACAGAGCTGCCATTTACCCGTCTCTTAAAGCATAAAACTTACACAACTGCAGGTTTCCATGACTATCATGTCAGAGAAATACAGTGCTTGTGGAAAAGGCAGTGTTACTTCTGGGAGAGAAACAAAAACAATCACAAAATGTTAAAGGCTCTTCACAGGATGTCTTTTAGCGTGTTTTTCATTAGTATTGATACATATCTTCACTTATGAGCTTATTTACAGGAATCACAATCAATATCTGACAGTACTAGAAATTACAGATCAGGATTGATAGTTTGGAAGAATTTATCCTCTTTTGATGCTAGTTGAATAGTCAAATTAGTGAGCAAGTTAAATGCGGCATTTTAATGCAGCAATAACAATTATCATCCCACTGAAGAGTAATTTGCCTACCACTTTAAAAGATACACCGAATTGCTGATTGGTAAACCATATCTTTGCATAAATATACACTGCTGCAATAAGGAGACATTCAAGAGGAAAATGCAAGTCAACAGACCCATTTGCGATAGACATAGCAATACCTATGGCAGAACATTTAGCTGTCAGAGTTAGACTGCAATTTTTTTCATTCAAGTTATCAAAAAACCCAAACCCACAAGAAAAACCTTCAGAGGCACACAATCTCTTAAATAAGCTTTTAAATAATATTTGTAGTCTATAGCACGTAGATTCACAAAAAATCCACATCTTCCACAAGTTACATCTAGTCACATAGTCTACAGAATGGCCTATATTTATGAATTGATTTAGAAGTACACAATTATAATTTCGTGATATTAATTTCAATTCTGTAAATGAGTATAATAAATCTTTATTTTTCCTTCTGGTTTGCCATTCAGTCATCACAGAGTAATTAGTCAAGTTCAACAACTTCAGATATATTATGTCAGGAGCAAAGTTACTCAAGACATGCAAATACTTATTTCTAGAACTACCTAATTCAAGAGAAACTGCACGGATTTTACTGAAGCTTATCAAAAGCAGTTCGAACTTGGTTTGTAAGTAGGCAAGACACTCATGCCCCAGAAGTTTAAAATACAGGTTAAAAAATGTTTCTTTAGAAAATGCACAACATTCAACCATAAAGTAAATTAGTAATTGCATCAGGAAGGGGAAGAGCACCCTAATACAGTAGTTTTCTCATTAGAACGGGGGTGATGGGAGCAGTAACTCTTTACTCAAACAGATCTGTCCCTGTGGGTACCTGGTCAGCAGTGGTTAATCTGAGGAGTTGCAAGAATATTCTCAGGAGGGACTGAGACCACCTGGCCGAGCGACACAGGTAGCACATATTTCAGCCTGCTGGTTTTCCTCTGCAACATCCACAACCACCTTCACAAATAAAAAGTTGCAGTTGGTTTCTTGGGGGTTTTTTATTTAGGTTGACAACATGATTCTTTACTGGAAAATATTTTCAAATGCATCTTGTTATAAGAATTCCATCATTTCAGAAGATGCCAGATACAAACCAGCAATGGTCCACAGGATGACTACACAGATAAGTGCATATAACCACATGATCACTCTTGTCTGGGTGCCAAGCCAAGCAGAGCTGGGACAGCTCTCATCCAAAAGCCACACGTGTGCATTATTGTGGTGCCAACATCAGGCTAACCTTTACACTGCATTTTAATTCAGGTTTAGGTATCTTACAGTACCGGCAGAGTTAATGTTCAATTTTCTGAAGATATTTATACATACACTGCATCCACATACACCACAACCTTGCAAACAGCTTGGAAGAGACACCTTCTCAACTGTTACATAGCCAACAAAAACACTACTGCCCCTGCCACCTCCCCCTGCCCAAAACTTCCCTCGAGTGTAGCCCCCAATCCTCCCACTTTCATTAGTAGTCGTCTCTAATTTTCCTAATTCATATTCAAAGCGTGCTTTTATGCAGTCTGTTTTGCTGTGTAGAGTTATAAGAGTATGAGTAGCAGCATGCGTTCTCTCAATCAAACTAGTCAGATAGATCTGTTCTTTAAAAACATGCAAAACCCCAAACAATGCTCTAGGGCTGAGATCTTGCCTGCCAACTTTCAGCCCAGCGTAATCAGCCCTTAAAAAGAGATTTACAAATGCAAGTGCTGACAACTAACTTTCACACTGCAAACAGCAACACCACA